GGGTGCTGTTTCCCGGAAAATAAAACCGTTAGTTTAGAACGCAGATGGAAGTCAGTTTATCCCTATGCTCCAGGAAATTAGTTGCGGAAAATTATTCAGGACCCCAAACTTAGAGAAGAAAGAGGGTGTCCCATCTATCTGAAGGGTCATAGTCTTTCTAATTCGCATGCATATCTGGAAGGGAAATGGGTATTTATTTGAAAAACGGGCGATTAATAGTAGCACACGCAAATAGACAGACGTACGCACACTCACTCAGTCTTTTGGTGAAGTTTTGTATTTGTCGATTTGTCACCATTTGTCGTGATAATGAAACGCAATTACACGTGAAAAAAACAGTTATGTTAAAATAGTAACAGGGTGTGTAGAAATTCAGGTCGGTATTCAGTACGTTTGTGGAGTGCCTGCGTTAGGAGTTAAATGAAGTGTAATGATGCATCGAATAGTGAGAAATCAAGGGTTCATTGACGTATGCGGAAGTTTGTAGCCTGACGCTTGAACAGCACGCCGGTCCACAACGGACGACGGTGACAACGGACAAGCCACACTACCTCACACAGTGTTAACCAAGCTGAATACACGAAAACCGGATGTGACCCTGAACACTTAGATGGGAGAATTCAACCGTTTACTCTATACAGTATGACGAACGCCACTACAAAGAAGAGTTGAATTCCCAGACAACGTGAACGGGCGACTTGTACCCCATGCCCAAAAAATACCGCTACCTGTGGAGCATGACCAACTGAGTCTATTTGAAAAGTTCACATGATATTTGCACTGCATGTTTTTTGGATGGTCTAATGAGATTACCCACACGCGGTATACTTCCGTTCACAGTGTCGTATCATGTTGGTTGTTTCAACCACACTGATGATACATCCGGATCACTAGGTGTGAAACACCGCGGAATTCCATTTCCACAAGTCGAGTGTGGATCACAGCTTAGGCACTTTCAAAATGAGTGGCTTCTCTCGTCTTGAGAGTCGCGTACACATGCTATTACATTAGTAAGAGACATTAAGACTTACTAATATACCCTCTTTCAAATTTCCGAGCGCACACCATTCATTCGGATGTGTTTTACAAATAAATTTGTTGTCTGTTTCAAACGACACTCGAGGCACATGGAATACAAAAGCCGACGAGAGCATCATCCTACTAATTTCTGCACGACCTCTGTGGTTGGAGGAAATATTAACAATATTTTCCATTTTCTATTTTCTATAAATATCTACCGTATTCTCCTATTCTAAACCGCAGTAAATTTTGTCGAATGACGCGTATCCGGTCTAGGCCAGAATGAAAATTCCATAACTTCCTGCCGCTTTTCATATGCCAACATCAATTTGGATTCCGTTCATTGATTGATATCATCTGTCTGCAATCAGTGTAACCACGGCAGGCGACCTAATTACTAGGAGCATTCCTCATTCTATATGCAGTGTGTATGAAATAATGAGGCGCACCCTGGAGGGTCTTTAAAATCCCAACGTTCATATCGCTGCAGGAGACATTTTCCTCATGTTTGAAGGCGAAGGCCAAGCACAAGCACCGTTGAATAATCTGATAGCAATCAAAAAACTGTTTTCAGAATGAGCCTTGCACCTGCAGTGTACAAAGTCATGCTTCGAAAGTGCAATCTTCGAACATAACCCCAGCAATGCAAGGACAAGCGTCGGATGTTGTGCAGAATTTCACATTCCTCAGTAGTTGTACAAGCTCTGAAGGAAGTGTGTCCGATGAAGTCACTGCACGAATCAATTTTGTTTCTTTACGTCAACAGGCTTACCGCTGAGATGTGGCCTCTGCGAACAGACTGTATGAGCGCCTCTTACGTTTTCGGCCAATATCTCGGAAGTATTGTTTATATCGGATGACATCAACTGATCCATAACCCGGCGACTGGTTCTTGAATCACGCAGCACCATCAACTAAGGTGGCTCGGTCCTATGCCAAGCATACCCAAACGTCGTTACGGTGACAATTCGCCCTGCTTGGGGCTCTTCTGGTAGGCAGAGTGCCCGAATTAGGAACATCGTAAACGAGAGATTCAGCTGGGCTCCACGTGAGCCTCCCGCAAAACCGAATTGGTTTGCAAATAGGTGTATTTTTCGTATTCTTGTTCTGTGTGCCTCCTTACAAATCATGAACTGGACAACCTGTGACCTGGCATATGGATACGAAAGAGATTACGATGATTTTGGGTGTTATTGATGAGGTTCGCCTTCTAAATTGGCACCCTGATAATCTCAAATCCTGCAAGAATTGACGACTAATGGATGTCAGTTGAGTTACACCTTTGATTCGCTTGCCAGAGTGTCTGACCAAACACACGAAGGCACAGGCACTAGGAAATGCTTGGTATAGGCTAGCCAATCGTCCATTCTCGTCCATTGCTTTCTCTCTTTGTGTTCACTCCAAATCTTTTAGCTATTGTTGGCAGTGTGCGGAGACTTTGGTCTATTTTGTAGCGGATTTCGTCTTGTAAGCGATGGGGAAAATCCGAGAAGTATTGTACAGATGTACAGCTTTATTGGGTATCAGCAGCAATGCGCATCTCACTCCATGGAATCTCGAGCCCGCAACATCTCAGCTACTAGTTCGATCACTTGGCAGCTTGACATTGATCGCCTGATCAGCAGTGTGATTAGCTCACACTTAGACAGGATGTAGCGTGACTCCGCCGTCAGTTATGTGTTCCGTATTCCGTGGTCACGTGTATTGACTAGCTCCTCGATTGAATGGATGGATGTGTGAACATTTTACTGGCCTTTCTCGTGAGCTACCTATGACATCTGGCTATGCATGTGATAAGCTGAGAACCTTTGGGTCGTCGCACTTGGAGTTCGGCCAATTGACTCGACCTAACCGGTAAATGCTTGGACCGTATTCTCGCTTCCAGCATCCGATCAAACACATTAACTTTGTCGTGTCAACCGCAATCGCACGATGGAGGGGTTGTTTGCTTGGGATTATTTGGACGGCTCTACCATCGGTGTTTTTCATGGAAAACTATGTTATTTGCAATCAGTTGGAAAACGCCTGAGATCGATTAAGTAGTAACCGTCTTTGAATTAGTTTGGCGATAATCGGTAGATTTATCGCTTGGCAACGTTTCGCTTCCGTTGGTGATGGACGAACTCCTCGTGAGCTTCGACGTAATGTGGGTAGAGACAAACACCCCTATGCACAGATGCTCTGTAGGTAACAGAGTTTGTTAGTGGCAGACACGACACTTAGGGAACGGACGCAGCCCTCGGTGGGTGAGATAGTTGAGTATATGAATATCGATCAGTTTGTTTTGACACAACTGTTTACTCCCAATAACAAGGTCTTGCCATGGGGTTTTCAATATATATATATATATACATATATATATATATATATATGTAATATGGAGTACTTGTCCACCGGCGTTATGCTGCAGATACCTTTGTTGTAGTCAAACATGACGTGAGCAGCTTCCACCAATATCTCAAAAGCCTAAATCCTCACATCTAGAGCAGGAACATCGGATGTTATGCGGAGACCGAACTTAACCAACATTAGAGTAGCTTTTCAAAAGGGAAAAGCGCCACACTCAGTTTTGATGCAATCGAAAGAATCCCTCCTGATTGAAGGAACTAGGGACTGTATGCATAAAATTAACTGCAACGATTGCACTAAGGTCTACATAGGACAAACTGCCAGGGAATTACACACGAGAATCGGTAAGCATAAAAGAACCACCAAGGAATTCGGAGGAATACCAAACACTGATCAAAGACTCAGCGATGGCGGTACGTGCATCAGACATAGGACATAGAATACGTCTGGAGAATGTGGAAGTTTTAAGACGGGGACTGCGATTCACACCACAGCGGCTGATAGCCGAGGCGGTGGAAATCACTAAGCATCACAGCGTGAATAGAACCGAGGGTGTGGAAATGGCGAGCATTTAGAGAGCGGTCTTAGATAAGCCGAGTTGACACGTGACTGCATGGTTGTCAATTCGCGTAGAATCATTGCAAAAACAGGGGGTTAAATCCCAACCGGACCAGAGTTCACAGAATCCCTCTTTCTTACGAAACTATTGTATGACAAGCTCATGCACACAGTTGGACGGAAAGTGCAAACGACGTTCAAGAGAAATCACCACGTGAGCCAGAAGCACCAAGCTGGACCCAAATCCAATCAGGTTTTCCCAACAACTTAACACTTCGTGACCCACCCTAAGACGAAATTCCTTGGCCGACATTTGACACAGATTTCGCTTGACTTAACTGATTGGCTCTCCTTTCGCCTTAAATCTCAACCGACCTTGTAGCCTAGTCACTTGGCCTGAAGAAGCTTTTGTGTCAAAGGCGAAACGTTGCCCAGTAATAAATCTACCGATTGTTACTAAACTTTTCCGAAAAAGAAAACTAGGTCCAGCATCTAAAACCTCCGATCTACTCGAGCTTAGAATCTAGTCTGGTCAGATCCAGAAGCTATAAACCCGGCATCTCCCGTCTGGCTAGCTGTATTATGCGACTTTCCGAACACAAGCCTTTGGTTGTTCTCGGTTCCTCTGTCCTTCTCAAGACATCATGCCTTCGTACCCGAAACCCCAGTTAAGCCGCTAAGGTCCCTTATGATAAATTAATACACAAATAATTGTATTGCCAGCATGTATAGGTCATTTTATTCAGTGGGTTCGATGGGTCGATAGGGACTGACTCTACGAGGGATACGGCCTCGACGTGCACATCTGATCCGGTCACTAACACGCACTTTCGGACCATCCCTGAGCCGGATTCGTTTCAAACTATACCTAAATGAACTGAAATGCTGGAATAAGAAAATTGATTGAGAGATGCCCTCATTGACTGGTGATCACACACAACAACAGGGCGGTTGGAGACCCAGTCACACGAATCTTCTTCATTGTGAAGTCCCTCCTGACAGAATTCCGAGATTCAGTGTCATTTAATCGGACTCACGCTGAAGACCCCTTAGCCAATACATCATGTATTGAAGAAAAATCAAGAATTGCATATCGTCATAAGAATGCTTATAAAAAAACAATGCATTGTCAGAAACGGTTTGGGTAGAAGTGAGGTAACGATGGAAATTGAAAAAAAACTGTAGGCGGGGGGAAATATAATGAAGAGTTTGTCAAAGTGGTTTGGTTGCTAATTGAAATAAACGTGAGACCAGTAACGTAATCGTAATCACTCGCACTTGTAGGGTGGGGTGTGGGCTGGTTTGGGAAAGGAACAATTATCACAGACTGTTTGAATGTGGTGTAGAAACAACTATTCTATACACCGTTGGTTGTATGTTTGCCCGGAGCTGCCAAACCGATTGGTCGAAGTAGGTCGCCATATAGTCTTAAGAAGTGAGGAACGATGGAAATTGAAAAAAAACTGTAGGCGGGGGGAAATATAATGAAGAGTTTGTCAAAGTGGTTTGGTTGCTAATTGAAATAAACGTGAGACCAGTAACGTAATCGTAATCACTCGCACTTGTAGGGTGGGGTGTGGGCTGGTTTGGGAAAGGAACAATTATCACAGACTGTTTGAATGTGGTGTAGAAACAACTATTCTATACACCGTTGGTTGTATGTTTGCCCGGAGCTGCCAAACCGATTGGTCGAAGTAGGTCGCCATATAGTCTTAGAAGTCTGTGCAAAGCCACCGTCATTTGACTACCACCGGTGACGAGAACACAGTCGACAATGTGTGGATAGAGATCCATGACGTGGTTCCACGTAGAGGGATCCACTGCGAAGCCGAAAAGAGATGGTACGAGAATGGATTAAATGAGGGAAAACAAAACTAGTGCATTATAAGGCGGTACGATGAACGCCCACCTGGGGGGTTCTTTGAAATTTTAAATTCGCACTCCTTACTATGCATTCATTTCGGAGGTAAGTTTGCAGCCCGAACTACAAACCATCCCTTATTCCAAAAACCCTATACATCGGATTGCTTGTAAAATACTTATATGAGTACAAGACAAAACATCATGGGGCTACCAGTCAAATATTCCATAGTGTTTATCACAATGTTATGTCCTAAGTTCGCTAAAATATGGGTCCTCCGTTTCCACGTGGCGTATCTTTCGGTGACCTACACTGACATTTCTAGCCGTGATAATGATTAAATAGTTGTAATCAGAAGGAAGTAGGATGGATGTACATTATACTGGGTACAAATGTGGCGATACCGAAAGCCACCAGAAAAATTGAGGAATATCGGTCTGCAAATAACCAACATTTAACCGATTAGGCCTCTAAAACGTTGATAAGTGGACTTAAATTCCGGCTGTCCGCAATTGGGGAACTGGTTATCGAGTATTGCAACTAGGCGGAGAATGCGATCGAAGGCCGATCGGACAAACGAACAAGGGAGTCTCGATTACGTCGGAAGTGTGTAGTGTACACAGAACAGAACGGCGATAGACAATAAAATCAAGAAAATTCTGCGAGGAACTCCAGTAAGTTTACATGGTGATGCAACCCAATCACCCGAAGTTACATTAGCTGCTGAAAAACTGTCGCTGTTCTATCAGAAGCCCAAGTCTTATCTTTCCGAGTAGGCTTGTATGTAGGTCAACTTCTACCGATTAGGGGTGGAAGCTCAATTGGCTGACCCATTATATAATGTCACAGGTATCTGCCGAAAAAATCGAACAAATACAACGCAGCGGATGTATTAACGTCTCTACCATGAACCCCAGCGTTTGGAAAGTCCCTAGTACGTAATATGATGCAATAAGCATTCCCTTGTAGTTCAGCCACGCTGCAACACAAACCAAGCTGATCTCACTTAGTTGACTCAAACTGTTTGCACGGACAAAGTTCCCTCTGGACAAGTGATTAGTGGTGAATGACACCAGTGTCCAGCAGCCTCATTACGACCTAGGTCAAACTTATCCCTCCGTTATTATCACACTCACTACGAACCCTTTTTCTGAAAATTGGCACTATCGCCGACTCCCCCAAGTTGTCTGGGACAGTCTCGTTTTCCCAAATACATGCAGGCTGACTGAAAGCTTCGACCTCCAGTCCTTGAACAACGCGGGTGTGAGGACATTCGGACCAGAAACTTGATGGCGTTTGAGAGAATATGTGCAGTCATAAACCTCCGAGGTCGTAGGGGCTTCCACGTTCACCGTCCATGTTTCTATGTCGGCCGCGGGCTCCAGATGTGTGGCGGCTGGAGGCCAAAATAAATGCTGTTTGAAGTGTTCGGTCTAACGGTCGAGGCGCTCTTCATTCAAGATGGTCGCCCGGAGCTAATCCTTGATGGTTTCACCCACAGGATGTTTCCGGGGATCGGGGGCACGGATCAACTAAAATAATCTTCGGGCATTCCCGGCTTTCTGAGACTCTTCCGTTTCGTTGGCTTTCCGTGCCCACCAGGCTTTACGGTCGCCTCGCGCGCTCACTTTCACTTGACATCTGATAATTCGTCAGGCCAATTTATGTTCAAGACCAGTTGGAATATTTCCTCAAGGTTTAAGCAGTATTACTGTTCGGTCTGATATCCGGTGCTTGGGATATGTGCAGTATAAACCTCCGAGGTCGTAGGGGCTTCCACGTTCACCGTCCATGTTTCTATGTCGGCCGCGGGCTCCAGATGTGTGGCGGCTGGAGGCCAAAATAAATGCTGTTTGAAGTGTTCGGTCTAACGGTCGAGGCGCTCTTCATTCAAGATGGTCGCCCGGAGCTAATCCTTGATGGTTTCACCCACAGGATGTTTCCGGGGATCGGGGGCACGGATCAACTAAAATAATCTTCGGGCATTCCCGGCTTTCTGAGACTCTTCCGTTTCGTTGGCTTTCCGTGCCCACCAGGCTTTACGGTCGCCTCGCGCGCTCACTTTCACTTGACATCTGATAATTCGTCAGGCCAATTTATGTTCAAGACCAGTTGGAATATTTCCTCAAGGTTTAAGCAGTATTACTGTTCGGTCTGATATCCGGTGCTTGGGTGAGCCCGGGTAGCGCCGTGCCACAAGCAAACCCTTTAATACTGTGCAAAGGGATGGCGGTTTAGTCTGAGTATGGATTCACGAGCAGTTGGACAGACTCTAGGAGGCGATTCTGGTAAATCAGTCTAACATGCGGATCTGCCAGTCTCTCAGTTACCAAGTGATTCGTCCACACCTTACGCCACTCTCGTAAACGAGGGAGAAGACTCTCCGGACGAGTGCGTGGTCAGAATCCACAAAACGACTGTCAGTTACTTCCTCTCCAGACGAGTGCGTGGTCAGAATCCACAAAACGACTGTCAGTTACTTATTGATCCGGACCATGGGTAACTGATAGCAATGTGATCAATTTAATTTCGCAGCCGAAACGCCGCTGGAGGACATTATGTGGCCAGATGACTTCGGCTATTTCGGTAGTACTGGATAAAAGCAGTCTGCAGTCCACATACAGCTGAAGCAATCGTTCACCAATGCCCGCACGTACCGAGTTTAATCCATGTCAACCAGCTACAGCTGAATGATTATTTTTATTTTTAAGCTCACCCACTGTGCTGTGAGTAGAATCCTCAACCAAAGCCTTTGGCTCAAAAGTTTGACCGTAAGGCAGCGGTGTATGGCGGGAAATGCAGGTGCATTTCAATTTTAAAGGAACAATTCGCCATACATGTTCTAACCCCCCACCTGGAGTGCTAGGAGACAGTGTTGACCAGAACTCTGATGATCGACCAACCTGGTATGAGAGTTTGCGAGTGTCGCGCGTACACCCCCAGTATAGCCAAGGGTCGCGGAGGTACGCGAACCGTCACACCATGGAAGGTTCATTCTCTTCGTGGCGGCCCGAAGAGCTTGATAGGGAGAAGTTAAGCCTATTTTTACGGGAACCATCTAGTTATTCTTAAGACTGATCCGTGTTGGAGGCATGCTGCAATACGGCGGTTTTTCAGAAACCCTCCCAGTCGGCATCCTGTGGGATACTGCCTAATTAGACACTCAAGTGAATTGAAAGGACATAGGGACACGTCAACGACGTCATGCTATGGAACGTCAAAGGAGCAAGTTTAGTTAAGAATGTCTTGCTTGTTTGGAATGTGAGATGAGATCGGCAAACTCAGGATAATAAGTGACCTCGCTGTTACTGGTTTTCATAGTTGAGGACGACAGTCAAGGAAGCATCTTCTTTTGCCTGAAAACTTGCGCGTCCTATATTGAAGTGGCTCATTACTTGCTGACTGGCAGAGCACTTCCACCAGTTTACAGTGATTCAGATGCTTTTGACGTGCTGACCCCAAGTCATCTGATAAATGTGGGGTGATCTAGCAAACATAGGCGACCTATACACACAGAGGCAGAGCAAGTGTTGGCTAATAATCAGACGAATATACAGTCTTCACAGTTACGGCACAACTAGATGCATGACCTTCGAGAGTTTCGAGTCGTGACCACTGCATCAACAGCAAGTGCCGGGGAACCGACCATGTTCGGGAGGTGCTGGTGCGGAACGTGTGCGGCAAGGTTATGCATCGGTCGTTTCTCACCCACTTTACGTGCATGTTTTGGTTAAGGGAGGCAATGATACCATTCTCGTCTATCCCTTTTTGCATATGGTGGGTGAAGCGAGTGATTAAGGAAAACCAAGCCTTGAGGGACTGGTTAATTCTCTTATTCTATGCTAATTGTGTACAACGGGTATTTTTATTCAGTTGTTTCCGTTTAATTCACATACCTCCTCTTGTTGTTTTTAATCTGAACGCTAATAATCGTTTGACCTTCATCGATTCGTTAACCACTCTTAGGTCCTGATATTGCGCGCCAGTTCAGGACGGTCACGTGAGGTTCATCGACTTGGGTCGATGTGAGTATTGAGAGGGTGCTTTATTTATCACTCAGTTTATTCGTCTGAAATTGAATTAAAAGGTTCTGAACGGCTGCATCCATACGCTAGTAGGAGGTATCTACATTGCTACCTTGAGCGCGCGTCGCTAAAGCAGCTAACGGTTTGGTCCCCAAGAGATGCCGGGCATAACGTATATGAAGTGTGATTGGGTTTCAAAACAAGGTAGTGACATAACCTTTAGTTTCAGTTAAACAATGACCCCAAATTCAGATACTCATGCATTTTAGGTTAAATCCGATTAAATGCCAAAAACCGTAGCCTGCTTAACCATTAAAAATCATCAAATACCAGAGACAAATCGGCGCAAACGGCAGCCATATGAAGTCGAAATGTTTCCACTCACCATCACGCTGTGACGAAACCGACTGCAACGATGTCAACATGGTTGTCAGTGCTTTGAACACGTAAGCGATTTCTACCAATCGCGCTCTGAAAAGGAATAAAATGGAAGTAAGCAGAAGGATTCGGTCATTAGATGAAAATGTAATGAAATTGGCTCCGCCTAAAGAAATAGTAGGTACAAAATTAACTCCACTTTAAGTGCTTCAATGATCCTGTGGGCTATATTGGCTGGAACTTCGTTCCACAAGGTCCAACCATGCCAGTAAAGCCAAAGGGGAGCAGCTACACAAAGCGCAGCAAGCCCTCGTAATATGAGGGTGTCTGGGGGTAAAGTCGTATTGTCCTCTGCCATAGGGTGTGCAGACAGTAAGGTCTTCCCCCAAGCGACCAGCATGTCGATATTCATGGAAGCAGCGATGTTGCCTTCAACGGAGGAAACTGTATTAGAAAATATCGACCCAACGGTCGGCCGTGACCGCCGACGCATTATTGAACACGGTCGAAATACTTTCAAAATCAAAGAGTCTGGTGCTGATCAAAAGGTACGTAATGTGCCCAGCCTGATCAAGGGTGAGACAGTAATGCCTTAGCCCTGCGCCCTCGGGTCAAGCCGACCCGCTGCAACCAAGCAACTCAGACTATTGAATCATCGGTTCCAGGTAGGCTTCCAAAGAACCACACATCCTTCCACTGTCTTGTGGGAGTACCCTCAACCAAACCACTTCCTCGGCCTGGGCAACCAGGAATTATAATTTTCCCGCATACTTTGTCTACCGATTTCCTCCAACTTCTTCCCAAAAAACAAGCAAACCTCGCTGAGTCATCTACTTGTCAGTTAGCTGACCGATGTGCCTTATACACTCCGCTGTCTATTAACAATAAACAAAATGGCACTGCTAAATCTCCGCGTTTCCTCGACGGAAACGCGTAGTGAAAACTGACCTCCAAAAGTAGTAAACACTTGCCATGTGACACCGTAGTTCAAATGAGATGGAGGCAGACGCATTTGTGGGCTCAGCTATTGGGTTGTCCGAACACCTATAGAACGGATAATTTTAGCATAATCTTCTGCTTTTTCTCGGGGTTCGTTTTCTTTGTGATGAAACGTCACATGATAAACTTAAATTTGCAAAAGGAAAGTTTTCACTATCAGTATTAATGAAAAGGGAAGCAAAGAGGCAGGTATTAGAGTTAGAGTTAACCTCCAGATGAGATGAAAGTGAGAAGCCCTCTCCGAGATCCTAAACAAAACAAACTTCGCATTAGGTCGAGCTCAAAAGCAGTAAGGCGTACAGGAAAGAAGGTTTCCGGATTTTGAACATCACATCGACTGAAATACGCAGGTGGGATTTCCACTTGGGATTTATTTTTAACAAACATAGTTTTCAGTCATTGTACTATAACGCATTTATAGAAGCTTCGCCACAATGTGAGAAAAAGTCGGAAATGCGCGTTTCTCAAACATGTTGGGCGGAATAAGAAATATCATGCCCGTCACCGGTTTTGCTCAACCTAAAGTAAAACGTGCAGAAAAGATGCGGATCTTTGCGATGTGCTCAAGGAACACTCGATCACACACTTTGCCGAACCTCTGTTCAAACAAAAATGCAGAAACAGCGGAGTTATAGTGTTCCAAGGACAGTACTACCCATATGTAGAGAGTTGCACTATCCAACTAGAGAGCTGTGATTTATTCTGCGTTTACTTCCTTCGGAATTATGCAGTTTTGTGGTCCCGATTAAAGAGATGCCAATGACCAGCGCAGCTGAGGTTGTTGCTAATGACTTTCATACTTTGCTGCCAAGTCATTGCTTACCCCCTCCTGGATCGTTTCCAACCTTCAAATGGTTGTGCAAAAAGAGTCTTTCGAGGAAGTCGGTCGGCCGGAATTTTTTTACCTCCCCAGTATTCAGCGACCGAACTTCTGACTATTATAGTAATATGGAGCGCACAGCAGCATTGTCTACTCGACCATTGACAAATAAGCTAGTATCAGGACCACTGCGCAGTTGATGCAGGTTCACAAAATCCGGATGGGAATAACATCATTGACTATATCACTGAGACCGGCATAGCTACCCAGGTAAACAAATCCGTCTACTATCTCAAATGGCTAAACCGCAATCATGAGGTCAGGATTCAATCCCGTCCAGTATTGCAGCAGTACTCTACACTTTGCAGGTGTGAATCGCATGCCGAACTGTGTGGCGGAATTACTCAGATAATCTAACAGTATCAGTACAATGTTGTCAGATGAAGGAAGAGGTATATCGCTCGTGTACTCGATATGGGACTTGAGATCATTTCGATTCCACCAGCATTAGAAGCTGGGGTGTGTTCCATGACCATATCAAAGGGGAATTTGAAGGGGAAAGCTGTAAAAAGGCAGTCTTGTCTGACACCACTTGATGTGGTGAACTCAGGCGAGAGCTGTCCGCAGTGGTTGGATTGCAGTGTTTTAAAGACGATGAAGAATTTGTAGGGAACACCTTTTCTCCATAGACACTACCATAGTGCCTGACGGTCCACATAGTCAGAAGCTGCTTTCAAGTCAAGGAAGTGGTCGCTGGAAGCAGTGTCGCTGTTCCAGAACCTGTCTGATTAAACATCTAGTATGGGCGTCGAAAGCTCCTATGTAGAAAGGATCTCGGAGATTTAGCAGTGCCATTTTGTTTATTGTTAATAGACAGCGGAGTGTATAAGGCACATCGGTCAGCTAACTGACAAGTAGATGACTCAGCGAGGTTTGCTTGTTATTTGGGAAGAAGTTGGAGGAAATCGGTAGACAAAGTATGCGGGAAAATTATAATTCCTGGTTGCCCAGGCCGAGGAAGTGGGTTTGGTTGAGGTACTCCCACAAGACAGTGGAAGGATGTGTGGTTCTTTGGAAGCCTACCTGGAACCGATGATTCAATAGTCTGAGTTGCTTGGTTGCAGCGGGTCGGCTTGACCCGAGGGCGCAGGGCTAAGGCATTACTGTCTCACCAGATCCTTTCTACATAGGAGCTTTCGACGCCCATACTAGATGTTTAATCAGACAGGTTCTGGAACAGCGACACTGCTTCCAGCGACCACTTCCTTGACTTGAAAGCAGCTTCTGACTATGTGGACCGTCAGGCACTATGGTAGTGTCTATGGAGAAAAGGTGTTCCCTACAAATTCTTCATCGTCTTTAAAACACTGCAATCCAACCACTGCGGACAGCTCTCGCCTGAGTTCACCACATCAAGTGGTGTCAGACAAGACTGCCTTTTTACAGCTTTCCCCTTCAAATTCCCCTTTGATATGGTCATGGAACACACCCCAGCTTCTAATGCTGGTGGAATCGAAATGATCTCAAGTCCCATATCGAGTACACGAGCGATATACCTCTTCCTTCATCTGACAACATTGTACTGATACTGTTAGATTATCTGAGTAATTCCGCCACACAGTTCGGCATGCGATTCACACCTGCAAAGTGTAGAGTACTGCTGCAATACTGGACGGGATTGAATCCTGACCTCATGATTGCGGTTTAGCCATTTGAGATAGTAGACGGATTTGTTTACCTGGGTAGCTATGCCGGTCTCAGTGATATAGTCAATGATGTTATTCCCATCCGGATTTTGTGAACCTGCATCAACTGCGCAGTGGTCCTGATACTAGCTTATTTGTCAATGGTCGAGTAGACAATGCTGCTGTGCGCTCCATATTACTATAATAGTCAGAAGTTCGGTCGCTGAATACTGGGGAGGTAAAAAAATTCCGGCCGACCGACTTCCTCGAAAGACTCTTTTTGCACAACCATTTGAAGGTTGGAAACGATCCAGGAGGGGGTAAGCAATGACTTGGCAGCAAAGTATGAAAGTCATTAGCAACAACCTCAGCTGCGCTGGTCATTGGCATCTCTTTAATCGGGACCACAAAACTGCATAATTCCGAAGGAAGTAAACGCAGAATAAATCACAGCTCTCTAGTTGGATAGTGCAACTCTCTACATATGGGTAGTACTGTCCTTGGAACACTATAACTCCGCTGTTTCTGCATTTTTGTTTGAACAGAGGTTCGGCAAAGTGTGTGATCGAGTGTTCCTTGAGCACATCGCAAAGATCCGCATCTTTTCTGCACGTTTTACTTTAGGTTGAGCAAAACCGGTGACGGGCATGATATTTCTTATTCCGCCCAACATGTTTGAGAAACGCGCATTTCCGACTTTTTCTCACATTGTGGCGAAGCTTCTATAAATGCGTTATAGTACAATGACTGAAAACTATGTTTGTTAAAAATAAATCCCAAGTGGAAATCCCACCTGCGTATTTCAGTCGATGTGATGTTCAAAATCCGGAAACCTTCTTTCCTGTACGCCTTACTGCTTTTGAGCTCGACCTAATGCGAAGTTTGTTTTGTTTAGGATCTCGGAGAGGGCTTCTCACTTTCATCTCATCTGGAGGTTAACTCTAACTCTAATACCTGCCTCTTTGCTTCCCTTTTCATTAATACTGATAGTGAAAACTTTCCTTTTGCAAATTTAAGTTTATCATGTGACGTTTCATCACAAAGAAAACGAACCCCGAGAAAAAGCAGAAGATTATGCTAAAATTATCCGTTCTATAGGTGTTCGGACAACCCAATAGCTGAGCCCACAAATGCGTCTGCCTCCATCTCATTTGAACTACGGTGTCACATGGCAAGTGTTTACTACTTTTGGAGGTCAGTTTTCACTACGCGTTTCCGTCGAGGAAACGCGGAGATTTAGCAGTGCCATTTTGTTTATTGTTAATAGACAGACAGCTGTATAAGGCACATCGGTCAGCTAACTGACAAGTAGATGACTCAGCGAGGTTTGCTTGTTATTTGGGAAGAAGTTGGAGGAAATCGGTAGACAAAGTATGCGGGAAAATTATAATTCCTGGTTGCCCAGGCCGAGGAAGTGGGTTTGGTTGAGGTACTCCCACAAGACAGTGGAAGGATGTGTGGTTCTTTGGAAGCCTACCTGGAACCGATGATTCAATAGTCTGAGTTGCTTGGTTGCAGCGGGTCGGCTTGACCCGAGGGCGCAGGGCTAAGGCATTACTGTCTCACCCTTGATCAGGCTGGGCACATTACGTACCTTTTGATCAGCACCAGACTCTTTGATTTTGAAAGTATTTCGACCGTGTTCAATAATGCGTCGGCGGTCACGGCCGACCGTTGGGTCGATATTTTCTAATACAGTTTCCTCCGTTGAAGGCAACATCGCTGCTTCCATGAATATCGACATGCTGGTCGCTTGGGGGAAGACCTTACTGTCTGCACACCCTATGGCAGAGGACAATACGACTTTACCCCCAGACACCCTCATATTACGAGGGCTTGCTGCGCTTTGTGTAGCTGCTCCCCTTTGGCTTTACTGGCATGGTTGGACCTTGTGGAACGAAGTTCCAGCCAATATAGCCCACAGGATCATTGAAGCACTTAAAGTGGAGTTTTAAGTGGGGTCGCAGAGGAGTCATGTATTTAATTACTTGTGTACTAGAACGAAGCCTAGGTAAGAGCAAACGAAAGACCAACGTCGGCCTCAATAAACAGACTCTCCGAGCAGGAGTTTAACACAGAGTTGTCCGAGCTCCAACTCTACATCTCACGTGAACCTGTCTGGTGAAAAGGAGGGGACGAGTCATGTGTGGTTGGGATTTCGAGAATACACTAGATTTTACTGAGAAAGGGGGCATTAACGTTTGGGTGAGAGACGAAAGTTATTCACTTCCAGACAAAGGACGATGCAACTTGTTTGGGTTAAGAGTAAGTCGATACTGAATCGCTAACTGTTAAACGGGAGTACTTCAATACACCTCAAAATGAAAAAGCTAATAAGGCCCTATACATTTTAAATGAGATTAGGTGAAAAAGTTCTATTTCTATATGAATATGTAATCAGTGAAGGATGACGGACAACAGGCCCTCTCAAACTGAGCATCATTAGGGATAATATTACGGGTGGGATAGCACAGGCGCACGGTTCACTTGTGAGGAGACGATAACAAACCGAAAAGACATAATTACCTTGGCAGGGGACATTTACCAGTAAGTTGTGCCGCTTGGAAAAACTGAATCAAAGTTATGCGACAGCGTTGTAGAATGCTGCGCACGGCGGCCCGACTGACTGTGATGGATAGGTCACTATTGGTTTGGACCACAGTTTGTGACGCGCTACTCGCCTGGGTTGACTTTTCATCTCCTCTGGTGGACTGCGGTCCGGAGAAGGCATGAGCAAGAAGCTTACTGAAGCAAAGACGAGCGAATTCCTCACGGAATGCATACTGACGCAACCTATCGAGATTTAAATCCAATTAAGTGGGGTCGCAGAGGAGTCATGTATTTAATTACTTGTGTACTAGAACGAAGCCTAGGTAAGAGCAAACGAAAGACCAACGTCGGCCTCAATAAACAGACTCTCCGAGCAGGAGTTTAACACAGAGTTGTCCGAGCTCCAACTCTACATCTCACGTGAACCTGTCTGGTGAAAAGGAGGGGACGAGTCATGTGTGGTTGGGATTTCGAGAATACACTAGATTTTACTGAGAAAGGGGGCATTAACGTTTGGGTGAGAGACGAAAGTTATTCACTTCCAGACAAAGGACGATGCAACTTGTTTGGGTTAAGAGTAAGTCGATACTGAATCGCTAACTGTTAAACGGGAGTACTTCAATACACCTCAAAATGAAAAAGCTAATAAGGCCCTATACATTTTAAATGAGATTAGGTGAAAAAGTTCTATTTCTATATGAATATGTAATCAGTGAAGGATGACGGACAACAGGCCCTCTCAAACTGAGCATCATTAGGGATAATATTACGGGTGGGATAGCACAGGCGCACGGTTCACTTGTGAGGAGACGATAACAAACCGAAAAGACATAATTACCTTGGCAGGGGACATTTACCAGTAAGTTGTGCCGCTTGGAAAAACTGAATCAAAGTTATGCGACAGCGTTGTAGAATGCTGCGCACGGCGGCCCGACTGACTGTGATGGATAGGTCACTATTGGTTTGGACCACAGTTTGTGACGCGCTACTCGCCTGGGTTGACTTTTCATCTCCTCTGGTGGACTGCGGTCCGGAGAAGGCATGAGCAAGAAGCTTACTGAAGCAAAGACGAGCGAATTCCTCACGGAATGCATACTGACGCAACCTATCGAGATTTAAATCCAAATTGAGAGCACTGTCAGTCAACGGATCTCCGGGACCGAAAATTCCTACTTCTGTTTGCCTCACGGCCATTCCAACAGAACACCGGGGACGCCTTTTCTCCGACTTCTCAAAAGAGTTTCCCATCTTGTTCTGCAGCCTGGATGACTGAGGTACATCCGGTTCAGGCGTGCTAAGGCCATTACAATCCAACGCGAACAGACTATCACCCGCATCCGAAGACCAGCTATCTGAACCATCGAGTGCTGTGACGGCACTGTTTACGGTAGCTTGAACGGATCCCAAACTCAACAGGTTCACAAGACGGCTGATAAAAACATCAGGCAGCTGTGACGAGCTTGATAGGAACAAGTCACTGATCAAATTGATAAACTATACGGAAAAGGTGAGGGTGAAAATGGAAGATTGAAGGGTTATTATTATTGTCACTACGGAGGGAAATGCAAATATTTGGGTGGTTTAATTTCTTTTGCTTGGAATGATACAAACGTCCAAATTCATGAAGAATTTGACTACTGATTCTGAAAATTTGCCTGGAAGTTGATAAGCCATGTTCACAGGGGAGTTTTAAATTATTATTAACAATAATATCACTTCTAGTCACCGAAAAGGAGTTCAGACACACCTGATGCGAAAAAAAACATGGAGGAAATTAGTGTACCGTGTTTACTGGGGATGCATCCCAACAGTTGAACTGCTGTATGCACATGCCGTAGGCCACACTAATGGAACAAAAGGCTTCAGGCAAGTTAGCGCTCAAGTACCAAAGCACACACATGCTTAAATAGGATAATTCAGGAGCATTCATCCTGCGCTGGCGGAGCAGCACTAGGGTGCTTTCCCCTTTCGGGTTTTCTGACGATCGATGATAAACACTATTGACGGGTCTTAACGTTAAGGAGATGCTCTACGTGTCCCAACCAGTCGCGTTAGAATGGGAAGAAAGGAGCGATACGGATACAAGTGCATTAAATTTTGAGACCACCCACAAACCGGTTCAGCGCAGTGAAGTGTGCTGAACACTCGGCAAACCATACAGTAGACTGATGATACCGTAAAGTAAACATCTGAATTTTCATAAGGTTTTCTCCGGGACCGGATGCAATTGCGAGCAAAAAAGGAATCCCCGGGAATTCCCCTTCGACTTCTGCCAAACGAAAGCCAATAAATATTTACCCTGTTATAATTCATTCAATTTAATTTGCAGCTACGAATTGCAAATAATCCTCAAATTGTGGTTCAGTAGGTAGAAATTCGCCAGATTAAGCAAACCGAGAATTCCGTCGTCCGGCAAAACAAGCAACGTTAGTGGTTGTAACGAAGAACAGACTCACAGCCAGAGTACATGAGACCCGAAATGTCCTATAAAACTAGCCAGAAGTACATTGATGATGGGTGTTTCCAAAAGGAAACTTAACATCACATGCCTCAGTTGAGGAATATGCAGGTACAAATCCAGTAAACGGAATCAAAACCACACAACAACCGAACTACTGTTGAAATCTGGTTCAATTTTGTGTAGGCTAACATAACCTAGCAAAGTTGCTCTGTACTTTTCTGATTTTCAATCCTTGAACTTCAGTCGGCAATTATATGCCGTAAAACCACGTGAAAAGACAAAATGCCAGGCTCATACTGACGGACCTTCAGTATTCTGGTGGTGCTTCTGTTTGCAAACGTAGCCACAAGCAGTCGCTTGTATTCCACTTCAGTGGATTTTGAAAACTACGCGAAGTTCACTGGTGGAACAGATGGTCCAAAGCCAATGACTGGGAAGTTGCTATGCGTGTAGAAGCAATCGATATGAATTAGCTGAGGATGCAAGGTTAAACACACATCGGTGTACCGGAAACAGTTCTGAAGGTACTTGCAAGTATGTAGATGACCCTTCGGCGGCTAGACAATGGTCGCAAAGGTTGGAAACATTGTGGAGAGGGGATGGAAACCATTTGGAATGAGCTTAAGTCACCGCTCACCCTCACATAGTTCGAATGTAGTGGCTGTGTTTTTTTCATGTAGCGTAAAGAGAATGTTACTGAATCTAGCCTTCTTTTCAGAGAGGTTTGGTTAACAAGCGGTGGATTTATCGCTAAACAACGTTTCGCTTTTGACACAAAAGCTTCGTCAGGCCGAGTGAGTAAGTAAGTAGGTTGATTGGGCTTTAAGGCAGTCAGGGAACCAATCCGTGAGATTTCTAGTGATTGGCCGACTTGATCAGTACTGGTTTTCAGTGTGATGTTCCCGTTTCTTGGTTAGAGGGGGTGACTAACATTCAAGATATTGGTTGAGGGAGAGTTTTCTCCATGTTGAATCCGGATTTTTCGACCTTGCTTTCTATGTCTAGGTAACTTTAATGGAATATTCCTCTTGGGGTCGTTCACAGATTTTGTTCAGCTGTGTTCGTCGCTGTGGTGTGAATCTTAAACCCCGTCTCAGAATCTCCACATTTTCCAAATCAATCTTATGCCCAGTGTCTAGTGCATGCCCTGCCATGGCCGAATATTTAATTATCGCCTGATATTCATCTACGTTTCTCGGTGGTCTGCTAATGGATCAATCATGCTCACCGGTTCTGGTGTGCGATCTTCTGGCTGTCTGACCTGTACAGTCGTTACATCTTATTTTGTATACACAGTTCCTAGTCCTATCAACTGGAAGGCAATCCTTCAAATGCACCAACACCGAGCGTAGAGTGTTTCCCTTCCGGAATGTTACTTTAATGTTGGCCGTATTCAGTATCCTTCCAATGACTTCAGATGTTCCTGCTTTGTATGGAATGACTGCTGTTCCGATCCACTCCTTGTTGGAACTTGGTGTTGGCATCAATGCCTGCCTTATTTGTTCTTAATTCCACTAAGATGTCTCAGACAGAAGAAGCAAGGTCGAAAAATCCGGGTTCAACATGAAGAAAACTCTCCACAACCAACAAACAGGAACATCAGATTGACACCCAGCACTGATCAAGTCGGCTAGTTGTCCAGCAATAAATCCACTGATTGCTTACCACACCTCTCAGAAACGATGACTACGCAATCCGACCCAAACATTTTGTAATTGATTGAATCCAGACTTCTTTCCTGTGCTCCGGAAGAGCGTTTCTGAATCCCGAAAAATTATCCAATTCCTGTTTATCTCAAGGGTTCTGAGCGTTTTGAGTTCTAAATGAANTTTTGAGTTCTAATGAACCTCCAAACAGGTGCGTAATGAGTCCCTTGCCAGCGATTTACTAGTCTTCTCTGCTAACGAGTAAATTATGCTAAAGCGTCCCGCTGTTAAATATTACGGCACCAGTCCTACACAAAGTCTCTCCTAACCTGGGCACTTAATAGGCAGGCAATTTACTTCTTCGCCTACAGTTGGACGTTTATGTTCCCCGGAAGAGAATTCTAAATTCCGTAGCTACTTGCCTTCTGTCCGGATGACTTCGACGTGCTTGCGTATCGGACTGACTCTCGAGTTCCTCACGTTTAAGCATTTCCATGCAAGTTAAGGGGTTCTTTCGTAAGTTTTAGCGGACACCACTCAACCTACACATACCACTCTGTTTGGAGGAACTGCACCCTTTCAAACTCGACCTCCTTTATCTATGAGCAAGTCGCTGTCCGTACATGGCACATTTCCGTAGATTGCTCGAATCCTCGTGAATCGGAAGCCAATTATCAATACTCCCTTGCAATGGATTTGTTTTGTGTCTTTTACAAGTCGTCCGTGATTGCCTTGTGTCCATCAACCACTTTTCCAACAATGGCATTAACAAGCTAAACAACAATCCACACAGAGTGAAATCAATTTCTACAAGTGGAAAGCCGGGAGTACATCAACCGCGCAATCCCCAAATTAAAAAAATAAAAAAAGCTGAAGTGGAAATCGAACTCCAGAGGACAACAACGGATCTAATAATTAACCAGCACTACAGTAGTGTCACTATGTAAGGACAGTTTTATGTAAGTCAGACGGAGATAAAAATGGATTTAGAGTAACAGCCAGAAAGTTAATAACCCATTCAGCAGGTGTACCGCGGCAGATGGGCGTAGGAACAGATGGAAATTTCCCAAGGGGATAAAACTGACAAAATGAACGCCACAAAGATAGTCATAGAGTGTGAGTAAAAAGCGGATGGAGAAAATATTGAACCAGGAAGTTCACACCCAAAGTTAGGATGTTGAACAGAAGGCCGTATGGGCTAGTGTTTTCCTCCAAAAAAAAAATTATTAAGCTTCCTAAAAGTGACTGCTTTCGGAGGCAATCGCAATTTCCAAGCCCATGAAAAATGGACATGAATTAGAGCACGCAACACATTTCCGGTGTGGTTGATGACCGAGAAAATATCGAAAAGAGGCGAATACAATACATACCTTGCAATCAAGCTCTTCGTGTTGCTGGAACTCGTTAATCGATAATGATGACGGTGGTTGTCTACAACAGAAATCCGGAAGGTGGGAAATTCAAAATAATATACCCGATGAACGCGAATAATTGAACTGGTCTTAGATATTAATATAGAGTACAATTTGAGGGCAAGAATCCTGCTCGACATCCCACCACTGAACTCGGATATAAATTTGTGGTGAAAATGAATCCATCGACATACAAAAGATGAGCAACGACAATATGTCAAGAAAGCATAACACGAGCGCAAAATGGCCAGAGTAGGGACGGATCAACGGAAGCAATCGAATCGGGTATTGACTGCGGATCACTGAGAATGTTCAACCGTATCAATCCTGTCCACTGAATTGTACCGTTGTGGTAGACCACAGCAAACGCCGCATATGGATAGTGTTTCCAAACGGAAATATCTAGCTTACGGATGCGGATGATGACAGTTAAAACAACATTCCGCACTCGGGCTCCCTCCAAGCTTGGCAATTTCAGACTTGGGTAGTACATTACTTTACAGGCAGCAGGTTAGGCGGCACAGTAAATAATCTCTCGGTGTGATACGTCTACCAAGTGAGCCAAACAGAACCGTCTACGTGTCGTACGATGCCTTTCGGCAGCCAGGATTGAATATGTTTAGATATTTATTGAAACAAATTGTCTCATCGTCCGACCGATACAGTGAGCCCTGCAGAGGCAAGCAAACTGGTGGGCATCCAACGAACTGGCTTGTCATAGCAGCCAATCATTTAACCCATGTCTGATCATGGGATACCTGGTGTAGGTTTCCTGTGGACTAGAAGCGCCAAATGTGGGTTTGACCTTCCCCTAGTGCTCCTGTGTGTAGAACCATCTCATTTTTATGGTAGATGCAGACAAACGGGCTTATGGCCTGTTTTGAACCCGAACTGTACATCGGTCACAAAATACACCCATTTACCTATGAATTCGCTTTTAACGGGCGGCAACTGGGTCCCAGCTGGAACTGCCGTTTACGATATTCTTCAGGTAGTATACAAGGTAGACGGGAACTCAGGGACTGAGTCTGCCTGATGATCCTCAAGAAGAACTAAAGTGGTCTTGGGCTGTCGAGGAATCTTCAGCAACTTTGTGAATAATTCCATTCATGGAAATATACTCCCGTATCTCGAATATCTTACCAAGTGAAACATGAGACCACTTGTGTACATCACATTCAGTAGAAGGTGATCATAAACGAGAGATTCAGCTGTCATTCACTTGATTCCCCTGTAAGAAATGATATACGATTGAGTGTTTTTCACGTGTTTAAGGGTAGTTCCGTTCTTTGTTGAACTATATCTTCTGTACATATTTACGGTGTTCTGTTAAAAAGACACCACACCAAGCATCAGTTATCGTAAAGCAAGAAAAATTTTAGATGTCGGAATACTGGCCAAACAGATTTGGCACCCAGCTGAAAACATGTATATGTTGGCTGAACGACGTGGCCTGCCACAACAGTATGAACATCACATGAAAACAGAGAGGACTGACACAATCGAATATTTCCCGTGATCCGTGTTCAACACGAGATTCAAGTAATTCCATCGATCTGTTTCTATTCTGGTAACCTAAGTTCTGTGTAATGCTTCCTTCATTTGCTGTCCTTACTGACCCTATACATGTCGATGGATTCGTTGTAATATATATTTGAGCTTGCTTGTGCGATACTGAAAAGGATTCTTTCATTCGAATTTGTTCCAAATAAACCGAAAAAGTCCGTTTATGGTCATTGGTTTGTTCGCTGAGCTGGGCAATTTGATAACATAAGTTTCATCACCAATCGAGGTGACATCAACAGTGTGTGGTTAGAGACCGTGACGGTGCGTAGCGATGGGTTGGTGGTTGTGGCATTCGTTTATAGAAGCCACTTCTCGTTCTCTTAATAAAACGCTACTTTCTGTGACGCCCCATAATTGGTGCGGGGTGTACATCTAACACATGCGAGAGGAAACTAGGTGAAGTAATGCAAACGTATTCGATGATTCGATAGCTACTTTTGGAACATGTGGGGGTAAAATACAACAGTTAATAAGTAATGTGTCAAAATGTGCACTTCAGATCAGGTTCGAGTGGTCAAGTTGCACCTCTAAAGTGCTTTTACTCGTGAAACACATTTTTGTAGCATCATATTTGCATCGATGCCGAACGCGAATTACAGTGGTTCCTTGACTCAAAAGCGCTCCAAGTGCAGCACGAAACTAGGAAGCCACAAGGTTGTTCTTAAACTTTTTCCCACGACCTTGTTTAAAGATCCTATTGGCTGTATTTCCTTTTAAATTGGGATTGGTGGCCGTGACAGTTAAGTGCATCATCTGTTTTCGTTTAGAAATTAAACTAAAAACGGATCCAGGAGGGATTTTTCACTACCTATGAGAAGCTTGCTTGTAGATAGTGCTTTCATTCTGTGAAAACGTTCGGGAGGAAATACAACTGCCTGCAATCGGTTGTGATGTCGATTTTTGGTTCACCAACCGATGACCATCCCTTTTCAAGGGATCTGCTTTCCTCAACTGCTAAGGCTGTTATTGGACTGAGACTTTCTAAGGTCGCAGTCAGTGACTTGTGTTTGCTGGTTGTTGATCAGGTGGCTGTTGATCTGTTCGCCGAGCTTGGCAATTGGCTTGCAAACGTTTCGTCACCATACGAGGAGACATCATCAGTGCGCAGTTGAGTGGGTACTTCTTCCTTGCCTGCGTGCGCTTATATAGCATTCGAGGGCTATCTGTTTTCTTCTGACGTGATTGGCTACTTAATGACTGTGCTAGCGCCTACGGCGTCTTGAAGAATATTTAACATTGTTTGTCCTTTCTTCAGTTGTTGGTCTTTAGACGGCGTGTTTCCTATCAAAATTTTTACATACTTTGGGATTCATCTCATCATGATTTCAAATGAGACATTTCTCTCGTTTCTCCCATATTCTCCTGTTACTCTTTCGCACTCATCGCTTGCATTCACTTTTTATGTTTGTGACCATGCTCTTCGAAAATAAATGATAAAAGTGGTCTTCTGGCCCTGAAGAATTGGCGTAAACTGGATTTATAACTAAGGTAAATCATCCACTTTTCAAGCAGCTCAAAAGAGCACCTCATTCTCTTAGATGCCAATACCCGCATCCTAAGTTGTAGTCTGATTGGGATGTTTCATTTGCATAGTCATCTATTACTTTTATTATTGGCAAACACTCCCTTAAAGAGGCCTTTATGTGTATCAAGTTTACGAAGGTCATCGTCGTCGTTCGATGCGACTGAAGAGTATGGGGTTAACAGTGGATCATTCGCATCTCAAGTGACCAGGTCGGCTGGATTGTTACTATCTGACGGTTTCAAACTGAAAGCAGTAATAATACATGTACACAGAATCATTCCTTACCTACAGTGATAACCAACCATACCAGAAAGTATGAGTCAGCGAAAGTCTATAGTTAGATTCCCCACATTGCAAGTTACGTGAGCCGCATTTGAATTTATAGCTGCTGTACTAATAGCTAAGGGTATGGAAGGATGGAAACTTGTAGATACTTACGGAGCCATTTGTCCGATTCTGTAGGAAGCTTTCTCCGTCTGTCTCCATTACAGTTCGTTTTTTATCACAGTGCCCAAAACAAAACTGTACTCATGAGAATACCCTCGTTCTAGAAATACCACCGTCCCTTGAGATATAAGAACGCAGTTAGGTTCGAAACGTTGATTTCCCCTCAAGTAATACGACCGCAGAATGAAGGCCATGATTCATTTTCACAAACCACATGGAAATCCGCAATCCATAAACTAAACATTTCATCAAGCTTCTTTCAGAAAGCTCGGCCCGAGTCCACAAAATTTCTGATCGCCACTTGACTTATAGCTCACAGTGAATCCATCAAGTGACCGCAGCAAACCATTCCGTTGTGCAAGACTGAACAAATCGAGATCCCCTAGCGCCCGGCTTGCAATTGAAGCCACATTGTGAGAGACGCTATTGAAAATCACTACGACAGTTTCGAACATTGAAAAGATAAGGATGCGGCTGTCTAAGGCATGAACCCCTGTCCTTGATATCCGTACACGAAGACCGCGGTCACAAATTCAATCTGGAAAATGCTGACATTGTGGCTTACGGAGACACGATACACGGAAGAGAATTTCTGGAAGCATGTTACTCCACGGCAGATTCGATCAACCAGTGCATCGAACTGGATCCAATTTACTCACCTCTACGTGCAAAAAACGAACATCTCAACCGGAACACTCAAGGAGGACCGAATACTGGATCCGCAAACAAAGAAACAGGGAACTCCTTGGAGTCAAATCAATTGAGGTCACAAACCGGGACTCGGGAGGACAAAGGTTACTCCAGCGTCGACGAGATAACGACGGCAGGGGGATGCCAAGCTCAAAGGTTAAGTGGGCATTGGCGAACGAGGACGTAGGATAACAGAGCAACCAACGGAACCGCCCGATCGAACAATCAATCGCGATCAAAGGTCATCCATAGCTAAAAGTACGTGTATTAACAAACACGTAACACTACTCAACGCATAACCACTAACCCACTGCTACGCACCATTAAGTTCCCTAATAACGCACTGATGATGTCGCCTCGATTGGTGATGAAACGTTTGCAATCAAATTGTCCAGCTCAGCGAACAAGCCAACGATCATAAGGACACAGTTTCATTCAATCTAAACCATAATTCCTTGAAAACTGGAAACTCAACAAACTAGGTGTTGCACACACTTCAGTAAGCAGTTACACTCCAAAACGTTCGATAATTTATAACTTAGAACCTACCATCAAAATATAATTGCGGGGTTTACGCTTCGTAGTCTAGAAAAGCACCAACAGGCCGTAATTACGGAATTCGAAAGACTGAGTATCGGTGATTGGTAAGCCGAACACCTCATAGTTGCTTGAGGGGAAAATAAGTGAAGTAACCAGGAAGTGAGGCGAAGTGTATCAAGTTGGCAAGCCAACACGAATTGTGGGAATATAAGACATTTTGATTTCCGATACGGCTTCAGTACTGAAAGTGTGGTTTCCACAGCTTGAACGGTCGGTAGTTAATCAGTGGCTACCACAAATAAGACAAGCTTGGCCTCCCAAAAAAGATCACCCTAAATTGCTTCGTGGCGCAAATTCCTATCCCAGAAATTTGCATAATTAGTTGTTCGTGGCTGCCAGAACTTTGAAATTGGTACCAACATAGCTCATATTTGAACGATCATATCCATTTGCTGGGTTCTCTCACAAGTGAAGAACAAATTTACCAGACTTCGTACAGTGACAGAAACACAAGATGGGGGAGAAACCGACTTGTCGACACGTTGAGTACTTGATTTGAGTGGCACTTAGCATATGATGCGGCATAGATATGCGAATTACTCGTGAGAAAGTCTTAAAAGATTCCCATCATTCGCCCTCCAGCATGTCAGTCATCATTTTGAAAGTTCTTCGGCATGTCCCCCCCCCGCAGAATGCAAAGTTGTGACCCAGGAGGGGTATTGAAAGTTATGGAAAGTGGAAGAATCTAAGAAGATGTATCAGACGCGATGTTAGTGTGACGAATGAGGTAGGTGTAGGAGTTTCGAAGACCGAAATCAGGACGGCCAAATCATGGCATTTGCGGTGCTGAAGGTAGCACTTGGTATAAAAAGCCCTGATTACCATTTTGGTGAGGGTTGTGTTGCCATACTGTTGCAAGATTCGGTGTCTGCAATCCGACGATTTAGGCCGCCTACGAGTCCTGAACTGATGCCTGAATATCGTTGTTGATACAAGCTGTCAGCGAAGAGTCAATAATGATGTGAATACCAAGCAGTTGTCTGCTGATTTGCTCACTTCACGACACTAACCAGCGCCACCCAGTACGGTGACTCAGTCATCATTGGTTGTTTCATTATCAATACCAAATTCAGATCGGCGCAAAAAGAAAGGCGGGCAACATACAGTTTGGCGGGAAGTAATGTATGTGGTTACAGAAAATCTGAGTGCAGTGGGTGGAAAGGTTTCAGGTGACTTTCCTTGTTCCTGGCCAGAGAAACTGCGAGATATGAGAGCAAGCCGAAGTCAAGGGAGTTCAGTTCCTATGCCCAGTGACTGAGCGTTTGATATATAGTCTATATACTATACAGCAACATGCACCTTCCCTGTCTTATTTTACCAATTTACCACCGTCGTTTTTCCAAGATAAGTTGAAGCTACTAAATGACAGTAAAGCACCAATTTCGCAACATTTGAGTTGCCGTCCGCGACGGCGATGTTCGAAGCGATAGTGAGCAAGCCATGAGTTTAGAACTTTACCAAATGTTACAAGAAATGATGTCGGTTTCCGAAAGGCTGTCGCAATTCAGTCCCCTCACGGCGGCCAAAATTCATGCAAGCAAACAATAATCGACTGCTGAAAAACTTCAGAAACATGCGGCCAAAGGACTTACTGTTGGTAGAAAAGAAAGTCATATAGAGTTTGACCAATTTCGGTACATAAACCTTCTCTGATTCCTAAAAAGAAAAAAGTATGCCCAATAACGAATACAGCAAAACTTATCAGGAATAAATTTAAAGTGCAGGAACACCAACAGTGATACAAAGACTTACCGTTTGTCCCATCAGACCGGCGTTTTAAAAACGAAGTTGGCTGCTTTGTTCTAGGTATCAGCAAAGGCACAGATGTCGGGATGACTTGAAAGAAACAGCGACTGGCCAACAACCAAGTGGATTGAGAAGGACAACCATATTTCAGCGCCAAAGGTTTGTGTAGGGTCTGGATTCAAGGGCAATAGCGAATTACGGAGCTGGGTTGAAAAGCGTATTAGCAGACCAAGCCGTCAAACGTCAATAAGAAAAGTAAGGGAGACAAAGGTGTAGGGTGCAAACAAAAGATGCCGAAAAGCCGTTGCAGTAGCATCTCATAAAACGACATCACCAACAAAAACTTCTGCCTACCGAACACCACATAAATATCAACCAGCGTTGTTGATCCAATTTGTTTTCCGACAGGAGTTCGACGTAGTGAAGCAAAGTAAAAACATAAATAACGGACGTTTTATTACGACTCCCCATATAATATGAATGTGTTGTATTGACCACGGTTTACCACTGGACTGAACGTAGAGGCTTACAGGAAGTGAAGAACCTAACTCAACTTAGGCTGTCCGATACCCGCCACTGAGAGTTTCGGATAGATGGGAGGATGAAGCAAAGGACATGGCGAGTGAGTTTCGATTCATTCCAGACTGTTTTAACGGGAAATAGCTTCACTGAGACTGAGCCATGTATATCAGTAGAGGGCGATGGTTGAAAAGCTAGTGAGGTTGTATTGCCACCAGGTGCCTAGACGTTAGGTCCCACACGAGCGCGCAGTTGCTGTAGATATCCCCTTGTGTATGCTTGGATCGATTTTTCAGACCACAATGAGTCTCAAATGGTCCAGTTATACATCCTACCAACGTGCCTCACGACAATGGTCGCTCATTTAGTGACATTCTCGGCCTGAGTATACTGTGGTATTAAGTACCAGTATGTGTAGCGCATTGATGTCAGTGATGACGATGGCCTCAATATTCAACCGATTCAGTCAGCTCTATAAGACAGCTGTTTCGCCTCGAAATTTTGATCTAATTCACCGCAATCTTTATGAAGCAATGTGTCAACGGTGATAAAAAATAATAGTCACCACATCTCTGCTTTCCACAGCTCAACGGAGAGCCCCACTCAAGAGCCCAGCATAAAAACTGAGTAAATACCATAGCTAACGATTGGGATGAGGTGAATGTTTTCTAGGTCACGGTAAGGAGATGAGGGCCCAAGAAATGGGGGAGCCCAATGTGAATACAAAAACCGTTGGACAGTCTACATCAGCGGCAGTCCCTAACGTTAACGAACAATGGAAACCACTGGCTACGATTGGAAACAACGGCGTTCAGTCATTCAAACTTGGTTCAAAAGTCGAAAATCGACCCCGGATTTACAACATAATCATACAAAGTGGTAATAACATTGAAAAAATCATACAGTAATTTCAAGGATAACGACAGAGCCACTACTGACTTTTTCAAAGACTCTCTCTAGGAAAGACCAACTGGAAAGACCGTCCATCACAAAGGGCTCTTCTAAATGGGTTTTCTCCGAAGGACATTCGAAATTTGAAGCCTACTACGCTAAACAGCAGAAACCGGGCAGAAAATTCAAACCCGAGTTGTTCCTCGTTTTCGAAGAAGCTTGGTGACAATCGGTAGATTTATTGCTGGGCAACGTTTCACTTTTGGCACAAAAGCTTCGTCAGGCCAAGTGACTAGGTTCAGAGGTTGGTCGAGATTTAGGGTGGAAGGAAAACCAAACAGCCAGGTCAAGCTAAATCTCTGTTGGGTGTCGACCGAGGGATTTTTGTGTTAGAGTGGTTGAACGAGTGTTGGATCAGTGGTGAAACCTACATGAGTTTGGGTCCAGCCTAGGGTCTAGTTCTTCTAGTTCGTTCATTTAATGGTCCCTCTTGAACGTCGTTTGAACCTTTTGTCCGTCTGTGTGGATGAGCTAGTAAGAGGGATGCTGTCACCTTTGGTCGGGTTGAGATTTCCACCCCAACTCCTCCGGTTTTTCCTAATGATTCTACGTGGATTGACAACCACACAGTCACGTGTCAACTCGGCTTACCTAAGACCGCTTGCTCCTATATCATTTTTTTCGGTTGTTAAAAGCAGTAGAAGCTAAGCATTTTTAGGACACTTGTAAGAAAACAACTCACCTTGACTATAGCCTCGAGGACTTCAACGCGACTTTGCTCATCCCAATCCGACCCAGCCAGGTAGACGTCGACTGTGAGTTGCAGACACTTCTCAGAAAATGTTATGTAATTTAGTGGGACGATTTCCATCTGAGGATGTGAAAACAACAGAAATGCTGGGACCATTCGGTTGAATATGAAATAGTCTTAATAGGAACATATGTGAACCGTTGTCCTGGGGGCTATACCAGTGTATAAAGCAGGGTAAATCCGAACAGGGGCAACAACTATGACGCAAACCAATACTCAACAAAAAATGTGATGCAGTAAAATGGGCGCGCTGGTCTGAGTCATTCTCGATTCTTTTCACACTTGATTGTGACGAGCGGAGTGTACAGGCGAATGAAATCATTTCAAATTGGAATAGCATGCGTACGGCTAGACTCACATAACCACAAAAAGGTCATCATGATCCCCACAAGTGGTCTTTCGGTCCAACAACGTAGTGAGAAGCTAATAGCCAAAAGTGAGTCCCGCTAGTGTAGGTAATCAACATTTTGTCAAATGTTGTAAAGTGTCATCAGTGGTTGCATGGCTATTTCAGTCAACGATACAAGTGACAATAGGAAATCGATGCTGAACTACTCACTCGTCCGGGACCAGATTGCTCGGGTTTGGGGATGTAGACAGCGTAAGTTGCCAGAGCGAGGACCAGCTGCAACATTGGCACCAAATGGCAGGACAAATCACTGCCAGAGGAATGTATATTCTGCGAGTGAAGAAATGAGATGGGGAGGAGAAAGAAAGCAAAAAGAGAACTGTTAAGGGGGCGAGTGTCAATGACAGAAGAAAGACGCTAGTTGAAATGCCGACAAAAACACACGTCTACATTATGATTACCCAAGGAAGCAAAGAAACACATTAGTTGCTAGGTATTATTTAGGGCGTTGGATAATCACTCAACAGTGAACATATGCATTTGGATAAACGCGATTATTCGAACGTGTAGATCGTGCGTCAATACACTAACCGTTACGTTGCGTGCTACTTCAAATATAAGTTCGGCTAACGATGAGTTCCAATAAGAGCATAGTCCAGAGCATAGTCCCTTGGAGTGGACAAACAGCGTGATGCACGAGGATAAGACGGTCCATAAAATCACATGTCTACACTTTGTATTACACAGTACGACAGGGGTTGTGGTTGAATAGAAGTTACTAGACGTCAGAGGATGCACTCGATTGAAGGAAATGGAAATGACCTGCTGGAAGATATTTGTAAGCAGTCAATAACGCACAGTTTACAATGCGAGGCTAACGGTTTGTCCACAAAAAAAACATTATCGTTCAATCGCCCACCTTACCTGGCATCCGTTCTCAACAAAAGAGGAGTTTACATTGTAAAAAAGATCCTATTCGCAAAAAGTGGTTGAGAAACAGTCTTTTTCGTTTTATTAAGAAATATGGGAAACATTTAGAGATATGTTTCGAAAAAGATAAACGTTGGCTATGGGTGGGACGTGATCACACAGAAACACAGACGGCAACCATAGACGGGTATGAATTCGTTTGGCTTGTTGTAGGTGCGCATGGAGCCCAAAAATATAAATGCTCGACATCCTCTAGTACAATCGATCTTGTTCTCAGCTTTCTACGGAACCAATGTCTTTTCCGCAGGGGCACCTCGTGACTTGAGTTACATAATTGGACCCCTAGTCGTTGATCTGTAGTCAGTATTGCGCCGCAATATGGCAGTGAAGCATCGGTGTTGAACACTAATGTTATGCTGCCGATGATAATGATGATGACGGTGACTGCGCCGCAAAGTGAACATTGAAACGGACCATTGGTTCGATCAATGAGAGGTACTAAGTGTAAGATGAAATAAGGCGCTCCACCAGGTGTTCAACGAAATAAACTCAATTCTAAGGACAAAATACGTTTACTGGAACGAGGGATAAACTGAAAAACCCTAGACAAGCTGAATAACTACCTATTTGAAGATTGTGGAACGACGTTGTAAAAGCAAAGGGGTGCTTTGAGATGTATATGCGCATTTACATTCAGCATTCTAATACAGTTCTAAGCGAAAACCGACACCAGACTCGGCGATCTCTTCCAATCAATATGCATAGAAGATTACCACCTGAGATACAATAATGGGCGAAATTCTTGAAAAACAACCCGTTCTTCTCGAACATCTCAGCTTTTTCAGCCCAGACACTTAAAATTTGTATCCACCATAGTTGACCTCCGTAGACTAGTAGCTACTAATGAAGTGAGAAGAACTCAATCTAGTGAATATTATGCCCGCAGCGTGTACAGTAGTTGTATTCCTATGCGGTCCCGTAGATTTCTAATTCCCGTCCACGATAGCTAGTCACTACTTTTCACCAGTGGAGGCTATAACTCAAACCACCCAGGAGTAGTACCAGTGATTCCGTCATCTGAAAACCCAAAGGTTGTACCGACAGTATCGTAATGCACTTCGGCATTTTATATTCATGGTATCCTTTGCATTCTGTCACTTACCGGAACAGCATATGAGCTATTCTATCAATTTCGGCATTTTATGGAAGTGGTTTAGCATAGATGATTCCCTCATCCCCATCATCACAGAGGTGGCCAGTTGAAGGCCGGACTTAAGCCTAGTTGAGAATGTCTGTGACAGCACGCCAAAAAAATGCGCTCCCGACCTGGTTCTTTATTGATAAGAGCAGTTTTAAACGGTCGTATGGTAGGAGTATTGAGAACTTAAGGTTTGAGTAGCAACACATCTGGGCAGGGTATTTTGATTACGCAGTACGACAGTCAGTGAATGCTGTCAAGTTTGGATGCATAACCGATGTGACCAAATAAAGAATCCACACACTGCACGGATGTTATGCGACATAGTGAGAGTCACTTATCCCTTATAGAAATGATGGAAACTGCCATAGATCTGAGATGCTGAACTGTATTTAGTACAAGTTCAGAGCACCAGAGTTGAGAACGATAGTTGTCCTGGATAAAATAACTTTATACTGAGTTCGAGCACTAGCAGGTTCGAATTCACAAAAGACTTCGATAAATCCTGTCTGGGTCCGAGCGAAGTGGTGGTGTCCCACCTCGTACTTCTTATTGCTGGTATGGCAGATATACAGTGGGAATTTGTCGGAGTCAGACTTTTTTAAGCCAGTTGGGAGTGATCTTTGAATGTCCAAAGATTAACAGGTAGGAACAGATCAGATTCAGTATCTCCGTGAGGACAAAATGAAAAAAACGCTGATCAAAACACTGAGTAGATGTACACTCTTGAACTGTACAAAAATGGGACCAAAACGAAACCAAGCTCACATACTTCCAGTAAAAATTCCACACAGCGAATAACTACTTCTTGCAACGGAGACAGTGTGCCATCATCAGTGACGGGTAGTGGTGCCGAGCAGCTAGCCATCTGGGGATACAAATAGGCAACGTGCAGGGGAGTGAGTACACCGAGTCGAATTATCTTCTCCAGACGCCCGAAATCCACAGCAGGGAATGATGATCGTGTGCGAGTAAACAGCGGGATGAACAGGTCAAACAGAAGAGTCACGAAGGCTGCCGTTGGAAGGAATACAGGAGGTTGCTGTGAAATTCAAGAAGGAAAATTGTATGAAAGTGCGCAACCACAAACACACGGCTCCGGCAAGTTGACAGTAGTCCAAAACTATGCAAATAAACAGCTTAGCGCTGGTAAGGAAAATGAAGTTTTTTTACATTGAATCGAATGTCAAGCTGAGAAAAAACGTAGTTCGTTTGATTGGAGTCAATAAATAATGAAGCAGTAGCGTGCCCCGTCTGCACAGACGGAAAAATGTCAACCCATGCGTTGCCCTAATGGAGTCAACGGAACGATGTAGTTATAATGTCGCAATTAGACACAACCGACATATAAATTATAAGTTATTTCGCCCTATCGTGGTAAAGTACAATTTGCGGTGAAGAAAAATTAGAAAAAAATGTCACTTGCACTTGGGGAGCTGGCTTCATCCCCATTTCCGTTTGTCTCATTGCTTTCATCAGTCGGTTCGGGTTCGGCCACATCAGCAGCTCTTCTCGATACGTCCACACCGCGAAGATCCACCGAACTCAGTCCTATTCGCAACCAGGCTTCCCATACCGGTGGCCATAAAGAGACTCCATGAACTGTTTGCGAAGCTCGGATTTCCAGTAAAATTTGCAATGCTTTCAGTGCTGTTACCGATATTTCCGCACTATTAGTGAAAGCATGCAAGTTAATCTGCTCCAAGAATGCGAGCCAAAACTTCGGGTATTCTGCTGTATACAGAAAGAAGATAGCCAATAGCGAGACGGGAAATACAAGTCACTAAGCAAAAAATATGCAGTAATAGGCAGTTATTTTCCGCAACCACAATACATTTGTAGTGATAAGCTTTTACGTGAGCTACGTGAACCGTACAAGTGCCCTCCAACTGATTTTTACAGAGAATTTGATGTTTCATGGAAAAATTGGGTGTAATAAAAGATATGAGTGATTAATACATAGACAGCACCGGTTCCCCACACAAGAGGTCCCCAAGCGACAAACACTTCAAAATATTTTACAGCTGAACCCTGTCCACAAACAACAGCCGAGCACGGAGCGGGTTTCGATCTCCTCCCACCACACTGTCTTGAGAGTTAATTCAGTTCTCGGAGCTGGATTGTTGTCGGGGGAGCCGGGAGAGTTACTTTCGTATGGTGGTCGTTGGCTTGTTCGCTGAGCTGGGCAATTTGATTGATTCGTATGTTCAACAAACCATCGCCTTGCGGTATGCCCGCAAGGCAGACTCACGACGTTTCTAGGAAAGTAACTAACTATGAGCAGGGAACAGAAACGGGAGGTTTGAAGGTAGGCTCATTAGATGAATTTGCTGAGAAAGTGACAGTTTGAAACAAACTTAACAAGATCCTAGGAACTGATGGTATCTCGATATTTTAAGCGTGTAAACAAGGACGAACAAAAATGAAACGAATGGAAAAGCTCCTCTAGTCAGAACAGTGCAACGGCATCCCATCCTTGGATGATACTGTGAAAATGAGTCGATTTCTCGGATTGCCTGTCTTAAATAAAAGGGTCAGCATGCCAAAATTCTAGTGTCGTTTTGCCATGAAGGAGGCAACATTCGTTTATAAATGGGGGAACTACATGAGTGAATGTTAACAATCGTCGCTCGATCCTAATGAGGTTCAATGCACAGAAATTTATCCAGGTCGATTTTTCGGGGGAAAAACATCCAAATCCATAAAACACACCCGCGTACGTTTGATTCAAAAAGTTAATTGTGAACGACATGTACTTATGCAGTGTTTATCTAATGCCTTCCGCAAAACATTCAGCACCAATTGTCGCTCATCGGTTATCTTACAAAGCCTCCCATGACAAAAAAAACGTACACCCGGAGCTGATATACTGGACACCGTCCCTATATTCAGCAGCTGAGGTACTTTGGTGGTGCGAGTAAAGTCGATCTATGCTGAAGAGCCGAAAAGCGTTGTACAACTGTTCAATCTTTGTGTGGCAACATCAGGAGTGTGAATATCACGAAGCAGCGACCTACCGGCTGAAGATTGTGTAGACCATTGAGCCACGAGCGGCTGATCGGAGATGCTACTAACTCGCATTTAGAAAGGTGAATTTATAGCATGAAGACAGGTATGGGCTGCTTTCTACAATATCGACTCCAGATGGGAAGCCAATGCAAACCGAGAGATGTTTTCCTTTCTGGATAGATTACTCATAGCTTGAAAATAGCAATGTACAAGCTAATCACACCACTGTGTCTTTCGGATCGCACATTGAGAACTCCAGCAAATCGGCCCCTCCACACTATTGTCCACTCAATCTCGTGTGCTACTGTCCAACGTGGATCCTTTAATTTAGCATTCCAGAGCACCAGTCACATAGTCACACAAGTAGTTGGGCAGTTACAAGTACAAAAAAACACACAAAACACCCATCAGACGGGTAAATGCTTGGGGCAGTAAGTTTACTCTACGACACTTCTTCGCATAAGCACTGGTGATCAAACAACAAACATTTTTCAAAACCCAAAATAGATCTTCAACGCGAACCTAGGCCGTCGTTCCAAAAGTGAAATCTTCGATTGCACACTGTTTTTGGTCTGTTGGCTTCAAACAGTTCCAAAGAACGGGAAATATCTCACCCACTTATTAATTGAGTGACTATACAGACAACCTGTCAAATCGCAATTGATGGTCGGATAAGGAAGGCCCGCATACGCCCAATAAGCGGCATAAGAACATGTCTCAGGAATCTCTGGTGTAGTACAAGCGAACTTGGCAATAAGAGGAAATAAAACAACCGAACCGTAGCAGAGTGCTGAAATGGTTCCTCAAGAGCATGAGGATGTCCAAGCTGAGCTTCTTTTGAAGCGAGTCTACGAACGCCGAAGCCTCATTTGGCGCAGCTATACATGACCTCGAGGCTTTATGCACCAGATGACTTAAGTGGGTGGAAAATTTGACCTTTGACGTCCCGGGACTGCAATAAGTGCATGATCTGAGACAATTACGGTATGTTTGGCGACGCAGACTACAAATCAAATGTCTTATAAGTTCAGAACAAAGCACTGATAGACAGAGCTGAGGGCAAAGTGGTGTACTTGTGCACTAGCGCTAGTTCCCAAGACAACTGTATGAGTGAAAAGCATTGACCGAGATAGGTAATACAATCCGTTCGTTTAGGCCTTGCGATGGTTTTCGAATAGACTGAGATAAACCTAAGTGAACATCCCTTTTCCATCTCATGGAAATACTACGAGTAAACGAGAGATTACATGGAACATGGATTGCAGCATAATTGTGCAGGGTATTCAGGATGTATTCCAAAACCTGGCAAACAAATAGATAAATAGAAAGGAAACTGTCATATCAAAGACTCGCTCTGCCGCTTACTGCAGTAGTGCTAACGAAAATAAAAGGCACATCTAGACAGGACAACTGGATCACACAGGCATTTGATAGATGCGATACCTGGGCACGATGTTGCGACATAGATCCCGACAAATCTGTACTAATGAAACGCTTCAGGCGAAAAATCTGGAAACATTCTCGAGCCCAACGGCTATCCCTAGGCGTTTGTTAGGAAAGTGTATGGACGCCAAAGGCGGAGGATGTTAGCACCACCAGCGAGATCATACGATCTCCACCAATTACGAAAACCAAAAGAAATTGCGCCCCCGTGATACAAGTCAAAGTTGTATTGCCACTGACCGCCAAATTCAACACCACCTGCCGATTCACACATGGTTGCATCGTCAACGGCTTAGACAGAACGGGATGAAAACTTGAACTGAGGTTCGGTTAGCAAATGCTGTTGGATACGCAAAACAAAACCCATCTTGAAGTGTTAGCCTGGCTTGTTGCTCATCTTCCAACTAATAACAAGCATTGTATGGATCCAGTTGATACCGAGTTCAGTACATCAAAAAGTAGGATTTGAAATTTTCGGGGGATATTCGCTATTCATAACTAGTAGAAGTCAGATTGGTGTTGGCTGAAGCAACGCTTGGTTTCTTTGGCACCACTGTGGTAACGCGGGTTTTTTGGTGGTATGTTCTCCTTCCGTTAAATTATTGCCGAAATCTGTAGTACAATGAAATAAATCCGGAATACCATAGCAAACTGCACTGTTGCCTTCTACCTTCACGTTCGTTACAAGAACAAACTTCATATGATCCCTATACAGTCACACAATAAGAACCAGCGTTCAACCAACAGATACATAATGTGAATCGAAGACAAATAGGATGTTGCTGCTCCGCTTAACCTGACATTAAAAAGCGCATGCCCTTCATGGTGATCAAGGAAAGAGCCACAAGGGCGAGTGGCCCGAACTAGGGGATGTAAATTTTTCAAAAAAAAATGCAAAAAGAAAAACAACACAAACAAAACCACAGCAGACTCGAAAGTTAGATCAAGTAAAGAGGTTGCTTCCCTCAGCTGGAAAAATGTTGTTCCCCATGAAACAGCAGTGTCAACACCAGTGTTGCCATTTTGTGGGGGGGAGGGGCACACAGAGAAAAATGGTGCGATAAAAAGGTATCCAACGGATAAAAATATATTTAAATTCCCAGTTGGACGGGGGGGAGTCTCGTCATAATTGCAGTGTGTATTATTTTCGCAAACAACCGAGTGCAATAGTTAAAATTATGTTCAATGTGTCACAAATAGTCCATCGAGCAAGTGT